CCTCCTCCTCCACGTCCTCATCCTGCTCGCGGACGTCCTTGTCATTATCCTCATCGTCCACCTTCTCCTCCTCCTCCTCTTCATATCATTCCTCTTCATCCTCCTCCGTTTCCTCCTCCTCTCCCTCTCCTCCTCATCCTCCTCCGCCTACTACTACTACTACTACTACTACTACTACTACTACTACTACTACTACTAATACTACTACGACTACGACTACGACTACGACTACGACTACGACTACGACTACGACTACGACTACGACTACTACTACGACTACGACTACGACTACGACTACGACTACGACTACGACTACGACTACGACTACGACTACGACTACGACTACTACTACTACTACTACTACTACTACTACTACTACTACTACTACTACTACTACTACTACTACTACTACTACTAACGACTACTACTACTACTACTACTACTACTACTACTACTACTACTACTACTACTACGAACTACGACTACTACTACTACTCTACTACTACTACTACTACTACTACTACTACTACTACTACTACTACTACTACTACTACTGCGACTACTACTACTACACTACTACTACTACTACTACTACTACTACTACTACTACTACTACTACTACTACTACTACTACTACTACTACTACTACTACTACTACTACTACTACGACTACGACTACTATGACTACGACTACGACTACGACTACTACTGCAACTACTACGGCGACGACTACTACTACTACTACTAACTACTAACGACTACTACGACTACTACGACTACACTACTACACTACGACTAGTACCTACTACTACTACTACCACTACCACTACTACTACGACTACTACTACTACGACTACTACTACTACTACTACTACTACTACTACTAGCTACTACTACTACTACTACTACTACTACTACTACTACTACTACTACTACTACTACTACTACTACTACTACTACTACTACTACTACTACTACTACTACTACTACTACTACTACTACTACTACTACTACTACTACTACTACTACTACTACTACTACTACTACTACTACTACTACTACTACTACTATTACTACTACGACTACGACTACTACTACTACTACTACTATTACTACTACTACTACTACTACTACTACTACTACTACTACTACGGCTACTACTACTACTACTACTACTACTACTACTAGTACGAATAATAATAACAATAGATGGTTCCCCCTTCCCCCCTCCCCTACAGACATACACACATGTGTGCATACATTCACGCATGCATGCATGCATACATACATACATGCACACCTACCTACCTACATACATACATACCTGCCTACCAACCTACCGACCGATCTACAAACGTGCATACATGCATGCATACTTACTTGCATGCCTACCTACATACGCACATACCTGTCGGTATACCGACCTACTCACATACATGTGTGCGGACATGCCTACCTACACACACACACGCGCAAATACATATATATGTATATGTATATATATGCGCATGCACATATACAGACATGCATGCATGCATGCATGCATACATACATGCATAGGTACATGTAAGCATGCATGCATACATGCATATCTAGATACATATATACAAACCTACATACATACATGCATACATACATACATACATACATACATACATACATGTATGTATGTATGCATGCATGCATGCACGCATGCACGCATGCATGCATGCATGCATGCATGCACGCGCGCATACACACATACACACACGTTCATACGCACGTGCAGACATACATATGCACATGGATGCAGATAAATGTATATGCATACAGACATGCATGCATGTCTACATGTACACGCACACACGTGCATGTACACAGGCAGACTAACTCGATGTATACATACATACGTACCTACATACATACATACGTACGTACATGCATACATAAATGCATACATACAGACGTACAGACAGACTAACAGACGGACAGACATATTCACAAATACATACGTATACATATCTACATACATGCAGCCATATATACATACACACATACATACCTACATACATACATACATACACGTACATGCCTGCATATACACATACATGCATGCAAGCATACATACGTGCATACATGCGTACATACACATACACATACACAGACGCATACACATGCACATACACATAAACATACACATACGCGTACACATACACATACACATATACATACACATGTACACACATACACACATACAAACATGTGTACATATATATATACACATGTAATACATACATACATACAAAGCAAATGGAAGTGGGCCGTTCGATGAACGGGACCTTCTCCCCAAACCCTTTGGGGATAGACGGGGACAGGCACGGACCCAGGGGCTCTCTAGAACAGAAGGCCCCCGCAGAAGGCGGGGACAGCTGGGAGCTCAACCAGGCAGCAAAATGGCTCCGATGGGAGCTCGAAGAAAAGCCAAACGAATTACAATTGAAGGAGATCCAGGTGGGTTTGGCCCGAATGGACCTTTCACGGTTTCGAAAACCGAGCTCCCTTTGGGTATGAGAACTTGCCACCGCGCAACATGCGGAGCTGGGCTGCCTTCCAGGTTGAGTAAACCCCGAGCAGCCCACTTGGCCTTCCAGTGGTGTAAGGCCCGCACTTGCTGCAAAACAGAGACGCCGCTACCGTCGTGTAAATGCGCCCTGCCCAAAAAAGCGTGGGCGGGCACTGACGGCACTGCTGGGTTCAAAAACTGCGGCCAGGGACCTCGGGAGCGGCGCGCACGGGCCCCTGCGACTGTGGAAGGGACTGGTTGCGGCCCTGCCCCAATCCAAATACTGCCATCCAGTCTAAACCCATCGAAATCTGTATCGGCTGAGCAGACCAGCCGAGCCTTCTTCGAGGGACCCTGGGGAATGTCCGGCGGCATCCGAAGACATGCTTTGCACCAAGACAGGTCTTGTAGCTGACCTCGACGCGACCAGCATAATTTTGCAGACTTCTCCCATGGCAAGTTCCTTTGCGAGTGCGTCAGTCAACCAATTACCGAGGACCCCGCGATATTCCACCAGAGCCTTGTCCCCACGTTGCATATTCAGATGGGCATTGAACTTATGTATTTTCCACCCCTGCATACCAGTAAGCTGGCAAATATGACGCCAATGTCATGCTTGTTGCCTCCTGCCGTCTCTGGTTCCAACAAGGACATTTGCGCCAGGCACAACAGCAGCGCAGTCTTGAAACCCTTGCACTGGTGCTTCTTCTGGGATCTGGAGATTCGCACATCCTTGTTTTCTTTTTCCCCCAAGCGACTAGAAAACCATGGTGTGTGAGCACTGCAAATCACCACAGCCTGGCTGCGCCACCATGTGCCACGGAGCAGCGCCTGGCAAGCGAGGCGAAGAATACCCGGGGAGGTGCAGAAAGGAGGAAGGGGAGGGGGAGGGCCCCTCGAGCGAGGCAAGGAGGCCGCAGCGAGGTGGCCGCTGCGAGGCCGGAGCTGGGCCGCGCTGGCGCGGGTACTCTTGTCCCGGCCGCGTGGCCGATATTCGGGAAGCCCGACGGAGGCAGCACATTGAAATGGACACTAAATTAAGCTAGACAGTAGCATCGGTTATGGCCCACATAGCCGAGAGCACCAGCAGAATATCCTCCCAGGCCCAAGCGGCCAGCGGCTGGGCCAGTGATAGGGTGCCAGAGAGCCCCAAGGAGACGAGGGCTGGGAGTAGAAGAGGAAGCAAAATCGACGAGAGAGGGAGAGGACCAGAGCACCGTGCGAGGCACCACAAGTCGGCACGCCCCTAAGAGACAAAAAAAGCAGAGAGCAGCAAAGTGATGCTGAAAGACACTTACTCTAGTATCTAAGTTGCGGCAGTACTTGGGTAGCGAAGCGCAGTAACGCCACGCTGGCGTGCAAGCCGGGAGCGGGAACTAGCGCGAGCGGGCCGGCACGAGGAAGCACGTAAACGAAAGACAGTTCAGCACACTTAGTCCTGCACGAATGGAGTAAACGAGAGGAGGAGAAGGGGGAGGAGGGTAAGGCCCCGCCGACGCTTTCCTGCCGAGCGGGCCATGGCAGCAGGAGCCTAAGGCAGGCGCAGCGGCGGAGGCCGCTGCGGTTGACCTCACAAGGTGATGCCGACGGGCGCGAGCACGCTGCCCTTGTGGGTGGCCCTGCCACCACCCCATAAGACAGCATCCAACCACACATACTCCATAAGATAGCGGCGTGGCGCAGAGCTCCGACGTGGTGGAAACCGTGGTCGATCTCGACGCCGTAGCGCTGGATAGCGACCTGGTGCTCGAGTCCGTCGTATCGGGGCCCCCCCATGTCGTCCCAGCTACCCTCAGCAGGCCCCCCGAAAAGTCCCAGCGCTGGCCTCAGCAGGCCCCCCGAGCAGTCCGGAGCGGCCTCAACACCTCAAATTTGGGGCGCGGAGCGCCCCAGGGGCGTCGCCAGAGGCGGCGCCAGGGTGTTGAGACCACAGTGGACTACTGAGGGGGGCCTGTTGAGGCCAGCAGGGACTGCTCGGGGGGCCTGTTTGGGCCAGCTGGGGCTACTTTGGGGGGGGGGGGGGGCTGTCTGTGTGCAACCCGAAACCGTACCATTGGGGACTGAGCCGTGCGTAGCGTGGTGGGCTGGACCCAGCGCTGCGACACCAGAGGAAGAGAGGGCGGCATAGATAAACGTCTGGAGGTCCGCGCGGAATTCTTCCTTGGATCTGCGCTGGACCCCCCTCCTTGACGCGTGGAGCGCGCCAGGGGCGGCGCCGGAGGTGCCGCCAGCGGGGGGCCCAGCGCAGATCCGAGATCCGCGCGGAGCGCCGAAAGTGTACGTATGTTTATGCGTTGATTCTTCCTCGAGCTGGGCAGCAGAAGTTCCTGACCGAACCCAGTGGCCCCGGGCGGGGGCAACAGGTCATCTCTGCCCGGCGTCCTTCTTGATGATCTGGGCCCGCACGCCGGCGGGGATGAGGGTCCAGTCCTCGGGGTCGGCCTCGGGGAAGTAGTGCCTCGCATGCAGATTGGGGCGAACGAGCGAACGGACGCGACCTACAAAAGACCAAGGAGAATGCAATGTAAGATGATATATTATTAAAAGTATTATTACAGCGAAGAAGAGACTGTAATTTAATATAATACAACAGCACGTAACGCAATATAATAGAACAGCATATAATAGAATGGGATGTAATATAATAGAAAGGAATAGAATATAACATAATGTAGTACAACAGAGTAGAATATGATGAAGTAGAACAGAATACAATATAATACAATACGATATAATTGAATTGGATAGAATATAATAGAATAGAATAGAATAGAATAGAATAGAATAGAATAAAATAGAATAGAATGGAATGGAACATAGTAGAATAGAATATAATAGAATATAATAGAATAGAATAGAATAGAATAGAATAGAATAGAATAGAATAGAATAGAATATAATCGAATAGGATAGAATGGAATAGAATACAATAGAATAGAATATAATAGAATAGAATAGAATAGAACAGGATGGAATTAGAATAGAATAAAACGCAATTTTATATCACATAATATAAAAGACTATATCAATGTATATTGTAATAAACTATAACAGAATAGATGAATACAACAAAACAGAAAGTAAAAGAACATACTAGAAAAAATAGAATAACATAATATAATAAAATTGAATAAGATAGAATTGAATATAATATAATAAAACAGAACAGAATAAAAGATGATGAACTAGAACAGACTGGAATATAATGGAATATGATAGAATAGGCTAGAGCATAAACAATAAAATACCATAGAACACAATCGAATAGAATAGCATAACATGAAAACTAAAATGGAATGGAATGTAATGGATTAGAAAAGAATCGAATGGGAAAGAATACACCATAATATAACATAACAAAATATAGTTTAAGAAAAACAAGCCAAAATAATGAAATAGATTTGATTATAGCAGATTAGAATTGAATATAATGTAATATAATGTGTTAACACAGAAGAGGATAGCATAGCATAGCATAGCATATAATAGAAGATGAGATGATAGAACAGACAATGATATACTATAGCAAAGAAAAAAGAATGCACCATAATATAATGGAACAGAGCATCATAGAATAGAATAGACTAGATTGTAATAGAATAGAACAAAATATAATGTAATAGAATGGAATAGGGTCGAATCGAATCTTTAATATACTAAGATATACGACAGCGCGCTGCCAAAGAATAGAACACCATAGAATAGACTAGGCTAGAATAGAAGAGTATATAATGGAAAATGAGAGAACACGATAAAGCACAATGAACTAGAGTAAGAATATAACAGACTTGGATAGGAATTAATCGAATAGACTAGAACAGAATATAATAGAATCGAACAGACTATGTTTTTTTAATGATTGTATATAAAAGAAAAGATTAGGCTGGGAAAAATACAACATCATGGGAGATGATTGGATCTAATATGATAGAACAGATTAGACTAGAATACCTGATTATAGAAAAGCAAAGAACATGACATAATCGAATACACTAGCATACAACATAAAAAAAATCTAATACAACAGAATAGAATATGCATATATAATGTAATAGAATAGAAGATGCTTACTTATATGGTTAAAAGAGATGCTCGAAAATGCTTACTTAGAACAGAAGATGCTAATCTAATATCTCTGGTTAAAAGGAATGCTTACTTATATGTTATATACTAGAACCACGCGCGCTTCGCGCGCGCTCAGGTTCTAGCCCTTCTCATGGCGCTGTGATGACACGAAGGTCGGGGTTTGCGAGCAACTTGCTATTGGAGAAGGGTTGCGACCGTGTTGGGCCGGTTGTGGGATGTCGCAGGGCGTCCTTGGACTGGCTTGGGGGCTGTTTGGGCGCAGCCTTGGGGGGGGCACGCGTCTTTCGCCCCAATGGCGCCGTCCAGGGTTGCCAGATCTTTGTCACGACACGCAAGTCTTGGTTTGCGGGTTCGTCGGGGAGATCGCTGAACAGCCTTGGGGTATTGACAAGCTTTCTGATCAAATGTCGAGACCGTAGTTCGCTGGTCTTTGGATGTCGTCACATTTTCGTGGCCTGTCTGGCCGACCACGTGCGGGAGGGGCGAGGAATGACGGAGGACGGAACAAAAACTGCCTTGAAATAGAATACACTCGCTGCCACGCCAGCTGGCGGAGCACGTGAAGGATGCCAGAGGACGCAGGGCAAACTGCCTTAGTACATAATGCACGCGCGGACACGCTGGTGGCGGAGCACTTGCAGGAAGATCGAGGAGAAAGACGGAGAAAGGAGGGAACGCAGCCTTGATATTGAATGCATACGCTGTCACGCCAGCCGGCGGAGCACGTGCAAAAACTCCTCCTGGTCGCGCCGGCAGGGCCTCAAGTTCGACGATTTGGCCTTCATGTCTGCAGAGCTTTCGAGACACCTCCAGCCGTCCTTCGGCATTATTTGAGCCTCTTGACGGACGCGTGCTGGAGATGCGGTTTGGGCTGTCTGTGGGTTCTGTTTTGGAACCCTCTTGGGGGCTTGCATGGTCATCTTGGGAATCTCGTGGGGCCGTTCTGGGGCCGGCTCGGGCCCCCTTAAAGGCCGTGCCGAGGTCGTCTCGAGCCCATCGCGTGCCCTCTTGGAGCCGTCTTGCGCGTTCGGAAGCCAGGAAGAGCGAAAGCACAAGAATTCTTCAAACATCGCAACAAAATCAACGTGCTTGGCCTCATCAAGGGCTCTGCGGGGCGCGCCGGAGGCTCTCCTGCGCTGCCATGGGAACCTTTCGAGCCGTGCTGAGGCTATCCTGAGCGCTCTTGGTGCCCTTTTGGGCCGTCTTCGGCTCGTTTTGGTTCCTGTTGGGCGGTCTTGGGAATATCTCAGGTCTCTTGGAGGCCTCTTGAAGCCCTGGAGGTGGGTATCAAAAAAGAGGCGAGATGGTAGCGAGGTGCCGGGCCCCCAGGCGACGATCGAGGTCCGAAGTTGTTTTGTCTTCGGAGGCTCTCGTCGTCTCCGCGACTGGACGCTTCTCGAAGCGCCGTTTTTTTTCCGAGGAGGTGCGGGACGAGGACGGGGAGGAAGATGAGGAGGCAGAGGCATCAATAGCAGTTAGAGCAGCGGTTCGGCCGCCTTGAAGCCGTCTTTTCGGCGTCTCCGGAATCTCTTTGGGCCGTCTTGAGCTCACACCACCGCCCGCACTTTGGAGCCTTGGTGTTTGGAACTCGTCACGCGATGAAATACTAGAACCAGACGAAAATCTATGCATTTAGTGTCTCCCAGCCTTCTTGGGTGTTCTCTTGGAGCCTTTTTGGGCCACTTCACGGCCTCTTGGGCCGTCATGGGACCCATTTGGGACGTCTTGGAGGGCTTCGGGTGTCTTGTGGTCTTGCCAGGGCCCTCTTGGAGGGCTCTTGGGGCCCTAATATTGGAACTCTATTGAAGCCTTTTGGGACCATGTGGGCCTTCTTGGGGCCGTCTTGGAGCGCCCGTTGGACCGTCTTGGGACTCTCTTGGGCCGTCCTGGGGCCCTCTTTGGGAGCCGCTCGGGCCGTCTTGAGCCGACTTCTGATGCCTCGTGGGCTGACTCACCCCGTCGGACGCATGAAAAAAACAAACACGGAAAACCTTAAAGAAAACATTCGAACAATTACATTGCTTCGCCTCCTGAGGGCATCGTGGGACTCCTTTGGGGGGCCTCGTGGCCGTCTTAAGGTCCTGAGCTGTTTTGAAGCCATGTTGGGCCATCTTGGAAACCTCTTTGGCGAGTTCGGGCTCTCTTGGAGCGAGTTAGGGCCGTCTTGGAGCCCTTTTGGACGTCTCTTGGGCCCTCTCGTCGCCCCTTTTTCCCCTCCTTTGACGCGTTTTGGCGCTCAACGACGGGTCCGAAACAGCCACGTACAAAATCAATGTTCCACTGGCCCCCGGGACCCAGATGTGTGGATGCATGCATACGTGAATGCATGTATGGATGGATCGATGGGTGTACGTACGTACGTGCTTACGTGTGTATGCATGTATGCATGCATGCATGCATGCATGTATGTATGTATGTATGTATATGTGTATGTTTGTACGTGCGCATATACGTATGTGTATAAATGTATGTTTGTATGTATGTATGTACCCGTGTCACTGGATTCTAGTTTTGTTATACATTTTAGATCTAAAATTGAATGCTCACACCCTTGGTATGCGAATTCACTGCATACATTCATTTAGATTAAGATTTAAACGATTTCCATACACCTCATCTGTCCTCATCATTGAAACCTATATTAAAATGATTTCCAGACACCTCATCCGTCCCCATCAGTTTAAACGATTTTCATACATCTCATCTGTCCTCACCATTAATATCTAGCTTCCAACGATTTCCATCCATCTCATGTGTCCTCATAGTGTAAATCTAGATTTAAATGATGTCCATACATATCATCCGTCCTCATCATTTAACTTTAGCGTCACATGATTTCCCTGTGGTATCTTCCTTAACTATCTCCTTGACCTGCTGCTGTATTTCCAATTACGACTCGTCTTCATCCTCCTCCCCCTCTTTCTTCTCCTCCTCCTCCTCATCATCATCATCATCCTCATCATTATTCATTTCGTCATCCGTTTCCTCCTCTCCCCCTTGTTCTGCTCCTCCTCGGAGCAGAAAACACGGAAGCGACAAACCAGAAAAGCATAAAGAGGAAAACACGCGAACAAAGAAACTCCGAACCATGAGCGACCTCGAAAATCTCAGCCCTAAACGACCTCGAGAATCCGAGCCCTGAGCGATCTCGAAAATCCGAGCCCTCAGCGATCACCGAAATCCGAACCCTGAGCGACCTCGAAAATGCGAGCCCCGAGCGACCTCGAAAATCCGAGCCCTCAGCGACGTTCGAAATCCGAGCCCTGAGCGATCTCGAAAATGCGAGCCCTGAGCGAGCTCGAACCTCGAAAATCCGAACCCTGAGCGACCTCGAAAATCTCAACCCTGAGCGTCCCCGAAATTTCTCCTTTA